ACCACTGCTCCCACCTGGCCTGGGGACAATTCTGCTGCCCTGGTGAGCCACCACTGCTCCCACCTGGCCTGGGGACAATTCTGCTTCTACTGCCCTGGTGAGCCATCACTGCTCCTACCTGACCTGGGGACAATTCTGCTGCCCTGGTGAGCCACCACTGCTCCTGCCTGACTGGGGACAATTCCACTGCACTGGTGAGCCACCACTGCTCCTGCCTGACATGGGGACAATTCCACTGCTCTGGTGAGCCACCACTGCTCCTACCTGACTGGGGACAATTCCACTGCACTGGTGAGCCACCACTGCTCCTGCCTGACATGGGGACAATTCCACTGCCCTGGTGAGCCACCACTGCTCCTACCTGACCTAATTCTACTGCCCTGGTGAGCCACCACTGCTCCTACCTGACTGGGGACAATTCCACTGCCCTGGTGAGCCACCACTGCTGCCACCTGACCTGGGACAATTCCACTTGCAGGAGCCAAGGAGCTGGACAGCTTTGGCGGTGCTGCCCCCAGGCCAGCTGTGCAGGTCACCATGAAGAGGCCCAGCTTCCCCAGGAGCAGCCAGGCAGGGGCCAAGGAGCGTGGGGCAGCTGCTGTGCCCTCCTACAGCCCCGAGAGCCCCGGGCTGGGCCCTGCAGCCTCCAGCCTGGGCCAGAAGAGCTCCAAGAGCCAGGCTGAGGAGCTCCACGGGGCTTATGAGAACTCACCTCGGGCTTCGCCTCTGAGGTAAGAGAGGGAGAAATTCACAGTCCTGGGCCAGCTGTGTGCAGCACGTGGGGCATGAGTGCCCAGGGATCCCAGCTGCACACCCCGGTGAGCCTGACAGGGACCTGGCACAGCCTGAGCTGTTTGCCTGGTGACAATGACAATGTGCAGCACCAGCCTGGCAGTCACAGCCCAGGCTCCATTTGACCAAGGGTGTGACCCCCTAAAGCATCAGGGGAGGGCCTGGAGCTGTTTGCAGGAGTGCCTGTCTGTGTGTAACCTAAAAGCATCACTCCAAAGAGTCGTCCTCTAGGAGACCTTTGGCTCCACAGCAGAGCATGAGGCAGAGATCACAGTACCTGGGGAATCTCAAGGTACAATTCTGTTGCCACCAACTTCCTTGGTGGCCGTGGCCAAATGGCATCACCTCATGTTTCTGTTTCCTATTCTGGAAGACAGCAATAAAACCTGAGATCCTGTGGCATGGTGCAGACAGGACTTGCAAAGCACTCTGTGGAGGAAAAGCACTGAGCCAGTGACCCACTGCATGGAAGGAAAACTGTCCCATGCCATGGCAGGGACACTCCCCACTCAGGAGATGGAGATCTTCCCCCAGTAATTCAGTATTCCATTTTATAACAAGACTTGATCCAATTTCCATCCCAAATGCAGCTCTCAAGTCACTGTGCACTTATTGCATTATCAGTTCTCCTGTTTGATTGCTCCAGAGAAGCAAATCAGGTTGGAAAGCACAGATTGGTGACATCATCCCCATCTCTGGAGGGCTTCTCAGGGGTTACAGACATAATGATGGCCTGGAATGGTGACAGCTCAGCCCTCCAAGCCCAGCAGAGGATTCCCTCAGTGTGTTAGGGACAGGGAGAGCTGTGTGGGGGCAGAGGTGTGCCTGCTCTCCCAGCTCAGTGCCAGCCTGCAGCTGCAGGGATCCTGTTACAGGCCGTGCAAAGGCTGTCCCTGACACACACCATTCCCTGCATGAGAGATTATTTTTGGATGTACTCAGCCATTCTAACTAAACAAGTTATTTTAACAATTCTCAACAGCCTCCTTCAAATTTTAGCATGGGAGAGATCATATTTCAGTATAGATGTCTCCATGCAGGAGAGTTACTTTTTTGCTAAATCACAAAGTAAAAATGGTTTTGCTTCGATAACCAACATGCAGATCATTAAGAGAAAGCTCTCAGTTTGGCTTCAAGCCCTTCTATGAAATCCAGGCTTGCTCCAGGGAAATCAGCTGGGACCCTAAGCAGACCCTAATGCATAAAGGGATTTACCTTTCCACCAAAACCAGCTATGTAATAGCTTTTAAGAATGTAGGTAACATATGTGTGTGTGTGTATATATATATATATATATATATATATATATGTAAACAAAAATAAAATATTAACTAACTGGACACATCTCAAAATACAGCGAGAAACTATTACAATTTTTAGATATACCTGTCTATGAGAATTTAAGTGCCTTTAAATCCCACAGACACACTGCCAGGTGCTTTGAAACATCATTATGGATGTGACTCAGCATTGTAAATGTTGCTGTTACCTCAAACTCAGCAATCATGGCTAATGGCTGGCTGTAAAATAACTGTCTTGTTAGTCAGATTTAGCATATAATTCCCTCATGTAGTGAATGTGGTTGCAACTGTATTACCAAAGGCAGATACCAACAAAGGCAGTGATGACAGAACAAAGCCATTACTGGGAATAGCTGTAAAATGAATGAAATCCTTGTACCCATATTCTCCCAATTATTGCCTAGCAACAGGAACTCTACAAAAGCCAGAAAATGCAATTCAAGACTGTCAGTACCAGCTACTCCTTTCTGAGCCCTTTACACCTGCAGCTTGCGGTGTCCCAAAGAGCCTTGAAGCAGAATAAAACCACTGCTGATTACTAACTGCATTAAAGAAACTCAATCCAAGCCAAAGAAGAGGCTTCAGGCACTAATATACTGCCAGGTATTTTAGTATTCACTTTTAAGTATCTTAATTAATAAGCAACAGATCCTTAACTCTTTTTCTAGACATTTTTTGCTATATGACTCAGGCAGTGAGGAGAGAGGACCCAATCAGAAGCAGCAGCGCACCATTCTTAGAGAGTAAACTGAAGCAGGACAGAAAATCTGATTTCTGACACCTCGCAGCGCTGGCCGCGGTGCTATTGAGTTACTTGGCACAGAGATGAGATTTATTCCTCTGCCTTCAGCAGTTCAGCTTCCAGTTCTCTCACCTTTTCTCCTACCTTCTGGATGTCACGGTTTCCTGTTCCTTCTCTTTCACACGAGCTGTCCCGGCTGTGTCCACTCTTTTAAGTGTGTAAAACTCTCCTTGAGCTGATGCCTCGCAGCTGATTTTAGCGCTAAGTTGAGGTTGGTGGGAAGCCAGGGAGCCTGAGCACGGAGCCTGCCCTTTGCAGCTCCCTGCAGGGCAGTGATCGTGACCCGGGTACCTTTCCTCAAGTACTCACCTCTCTCTGTGCAAACCACCTCTTTTTCATTGTTTTCCGCTTCTTTTTTTTCTTTTTTGCTTATGAGCAAACAACCTCTCAGGCAAGTAGGGACGCATTCCCTCCCTTAATCAGTTTCATGCGCGGAATTTATATAAATTAGCACTCAATTAACACCCGCTCTGTAGTTTTCGTTCACAAACGATGTTTAAACACCAACATCAGAGGTGGATTAACCTCGTGAAGATCTCTGTGCTGACAGACCCAAGGGAAGGAGATGGGAGCAGCTGAGAGCCCGCACGCAGCGGAACTTTCGGGCTTGGGGTGTTTTTAAACAATAGGCGATAAACTTATATGCCAAAAGTATATTTGGCATATACTTATGCCAAAGTATAATTAAGATATTTAAAACACTATAATGTCAATTTCAGATGTAATTAGGCATTGAAGCTGGTGATGAAAGGGAAACGAATCACCTAACCTGCCAGCAGGACCTGCTGCTGTTCTGGTGAAAGCACCACAGCTGCGTTTTTTCATCCATGTAAATAGATGAAAAAATGCAGATGTAATAGATGTCATAACAAACACAAAAATATTAAATAGATGTAATAACAAAATAGATGTAAAATAGGCGTAATAACAAACACAAATAGCAAAATATTAATATTTCCGTATTTTTATCACATTCTTTCCACAAGGCCGGTTGTGTTGCTCAGTTTATGGCTGCTCAGACACATCCATGAGGGGTGCTGCTGCTGCTGACCGAGCCCCGTACGGGAGCGGGGTTTGGGTGGCCCCGGGGATGGGGGAGCTGCCCCTGGGCACGGAGGGAGGGAGGGAGGGCTCGCTCGGGGCTGCGGCTGCGGGGATTCAATCCACGTTTAAACCTGGCTCTAGGGTGTGTGTTATGTGCACAGCCTTAAAATCGGTACCAGAGCTTTAGCACTACAGAGGCAATTAGCTACAAATTAGTAAATGAATTAAACAAGGAATTTAGAGCCACAGAATGGTTTGGGCTGGAAAGGACCTGAGAGATGACCTTTTTTTCTGCCATGGGCAGGAACACATTTCACTAGACCAGGCTGTTCAGGACCCCATCCAACCTGGCCTTAAACACCAGTGATGGTTCCGTCACAGCTTCTCTGGGCAAGAATTTCCTTGGGATGACAGAGTGGGATTTCGGGACTTTCGAGCATATTGTGGCAGTCCTTGCTGCTGCTCCCTGGCGGTGCTATGGGCAGAGCAGCCGTTTTCTGTTCTAAAGGTGGGCACTTCTGCGGTTCTGTGCCTTCTGCTGAGACAGGGACGCTCCCGGCAGCGCTGAGCCGCGACCGCTGCCCCTCGGGGCCGGGACAGAGCAGGGACAGAGCAGGGATAGAGCAGGGACAGAGCAGGGACAGAGCAGGGACAGAGCAGGGACAGAGCAGGGATAGAGCAGGGACAGAGCCGGGATAGAGCAGGGACAGAGCAGACAGAGCCGGGCTGGCCGGGACAGAGGGACAGAGCCGTGCCGGCTGGGATAGAACCGGGACAGAGCGGGAACAGAGCCGGGGCAGAGCCGTGCCGGCTGGGATAGAACCGGGACAGAGCGGGAACAGAGCCGGGACAGAGCCGTGCCCGCCGGTCCGAAGCAGCAGCCGGGGCTCGGAGCCGGGCGGTGCCAGCGCCGCCGCCGCCGCGGATCCGCTGCCCGCGGGCACCTGCCCAAGCCCCGGCCCTTGCCCAGTCCCCGGCTGTGTAAGGAGACTCTTATTGTGACATTGGCGGGGGCCGGGGACAGGCCGGGCCCGCGGTGTCACCGCTGGCAGCACATTAAAGCCTCCGGGCTCGTCCCGCCGCGCAGAGGGCGGCTATGACAGTGAATGACCGTCCTTCCCAAAATACCGGCCTCGGCCCAGGTGACAGCTCCTAGGCGGTAGGTAAGGCGCTTGTTGGGCTTTTCTCCACGTCACTTTCCACTCGGAGGCTGGCCAGGGAGGTGGCGAGAGGGACTGCTGGGAATGCTAAGGTGGAACTCACCTGGACGGTGCGGCGGTGTCACAGGGAACGTGGGCAGCAGCACAGCCAAAACACGGGTTTGTTTTTCAACAGGAAAAGTATCCCTGTTATTACTTACTGTTTTTACCTTGTAAGGTCAAATGTCTCTTTGGATTTATTTTTTTCCCTCCCAAATCAAGGTGGAACTATTTGAGGAAAACATGGCTTATCCCTTGCTGTGAGAAGTGACGCTGCGCACCAGAGCTTGGTTAAGGGCAGCGTTCTAAAAACGGAGTAAACGCTGGTTGCTGTCCACAGCCTGTGGTACAGTGAGGGTACAAATCCGTGCACAGGTAGTGATATAAAAACGGGATAAAGACAAGACTGAACGAGTTTTCTGCGCTAGTGAATGGGGACATAGTGTGGACGTGCTCCAGAAGTTTGAGCCAGCTTCAAATTCCAAGAGTATGACACGGGGAAAGTTAGGGAACTTTTACTATAAGGCCTCTGTTTACTTACAGCTAATTCACAACCAATATTGATGATTACCTGCAGGAAATGAAAGCCTTGAGTCCTTAATGTCGAGCAATGTCTCCACTTATCTCCCCCCATGGGAATTTATGACCTCGTGGAGCCCTTCTCCAACGAGAGGAATACAATACACTGGGTGTATATATAGCAGTGAAACAGCTGATCTCAGTGGGGCAAGATTACAATTTTTTCCAGCACATGTAACTGTGGGGATTTATATTTCTTTTTTTTCTTCTTCTTCTTTTTTTTTTTTTTTTTTTATTAGTGGCTTTATGCTTATTTTGGGGGATTATTTTTTTTATCCTGGAGCTGGAGTAATTTGTCCATTTTAAAAAGCTTGCGAAATGAAACTCTCCCAGGTTTTGAGTTGATGGAAAGCCTTGGTTTTTAGATATCAAACACCTACCAGTGAAATAAATCAGGACTCTGAGCAGCTCAGCTTGCCCTACCTTATCTTGCAGCTCATGTCCTTCTGGCAATTAGCAGACTTAATAGCAAATATCAGAGACACAAAGTCCTTGGCATTCTAATCCCAAATCTCAGCTGGATATTAGAAACTCTGAATTCAAAACCCATTAGAGAAGAAATCAGATTTGTTTTCAAAAGTTTCATTTTAGACATGAAAGTGAAACTTTCATGCTTCCCTATGGTACGAGGAATTTCTTGGCAGAGATAGCTGGTTCTGGGAAATAGTACATTTAGCATTTTGACAGGGCACAAAACAGCAGGATCCAGGGATCTTTAGTTAAGACGACACATGGGAAATTACCTGGCTTAGCAGCAGTATCTGTGTTTATCTATAGATTTAGGCAGGTGGTAACCAATTGCTGTTTCCTTTAGCATTTACTGGGCTCTGGCACATGAGACAAGCCCAGTGATCATTGCACCTGAGCCAGGCAGACTGTGTGGCTTGTTTCTGTGACCCAAAATGCTCATACAGTCATGGTACAGTTCTAATAAACCCTAAATAACTTTATTTTAAGTTCAAGCTTTAATCTAGTTGAACTTTAACTTCATAGTGTTTGGATTGCTAGTGGCTGCTCAGAACAGAGCATTTTGGTGATTCAGCTTGTGACGTACAATTTATTTTATCTGTATTGTCTTCCTTAAGGGAAAATCCACTCCAAGAAAGTCTCTATTCTGCAAGGCAAGGGTTCCATTCTATCCAGGAGCCCAGCCAGGAAAACTTTTGTGGCCTGTCACCTAGCTTTTACCAGCCACCCATCCAAAGCCAGTTATCACCAACTAAAACCCAGGACAGCCGTGAAACCTCTCCTATGAGTGTCCCTAATCTCCCATCCGTTTCCTCTATGTGCCAACCAACCATGTTTAACTACGAACGTCCAAAACACTTTATCCAGTCTAAGAACGTGTGCCAAGGGCAACAGCAGCCTCCAGGACCCGCAGCAGCCTCCACAGAGCCGAGCAGAGAAATCAAACAGTCCTCCATCCTCATCCAGCCTCGTAACCCCAGCGGGCAGAAATTCTCCTCCTCGTCATCGCTGAGCTCTTCAATCACGCTCTCCTCGCCTTCCTGTAGTGCCCCTAAGGAATCCACCTATCCCATCACTCCTGCATCTGCACAGTCTCCTGCTAGCTCATCATCTGGCCAGAGGCTGCTGCCCATGCCTAACCAATCCCCCGCAGCCTTCCTGTGCTCCGTGCTCCCCTCGCAGCCCGGCTATAGCAGCCCAGCTCCTTCTCCCGTGGAACCTCCGTAAGTACACACAGCTGCTAACCCTGCCTGCTTCCCCCGGCCTGCCCCAGCACTGCCCACCCCTAAACAACGCCCTGGCAAAGCTGCGGCCCTGCACAGCTCCCCCTGACTGCGCTGTGCAAGGCAGAGCTGCACAGGTCGGGGCAGGAGTGCTCGCCCTTGTGTGGGAGTCAAACTGCACCATGGGCATGGCACAGGCTGCTGGCTGAGTTTGCTGGAGCTGGTTGGAATTATTTAGTTGGACTTGACAGAAATTTCTTAAGGTTTTTTAGAACAGAAGACAGGCACCTGTCTCAAAACATGTCTTATGAACAGGGAGACAGTAATATCCCCAACACAACATAGAGGGTCCTAGTAAGTCTCAGCAATACTTTCACATTCCACATCATGATGTGGATCTAAACTCACCTACAAAACGCCTTTTATTAATCACACATGCAAAAGAAGGGCAGCCCCTTGAAAATTTCACCCCTTTAGAGCAAAGAATAAATTCTTTCCTAAATATGTATTATATCATTTTGCCTTTGGGCTGCAATCCAAATATCTTCCAAGGTCAGTGAGCTCTCAAAGGGAGCTGGGCCTTGCCTTCTCACCAACTTGTATTCCTGCCAATATCAGCTGGAGGTCCTGGGGAAAGTCAGGGTAGAATACACACAAAGTGAGATATTGGAAAGTTGATAGGGGCAGGGGGTCCTGCTGACTTGGATATAAACCCAGGTTTGAGTGTCAGTTTGCATTCAGGAAATCAGAATATTTCTGTCTGTTTTCTGAATCACGGCACTGAGGGAAGGGGAAAGGTAAGATGGGGTGGGTTATCTGGGGAGAGTTTCCTGAAGTCCTGCAGTACTCTGGAGGGTTTGGGACCCTGCTGGGGTTTGGGTTTGTAGTTGTAGTGGGGTTGTTTGTTTCCATAGCAAAGGGCTTGGATGCCTCACTATGATTTTTGTATAAGTTGCTCTTAAATACAACATGCAATGAGTTGAGGAATTATTTTCCCAATCTCACTACTAATGAGCAAACAGGGACATGAGGTGTGTTCATCTCTGGGGCAAATCACTCAAGTTTTATAACTCACATTAAGTTATTAAGCCCAAGCAGTGCTGAGAGTATTCTGGAATTATAATGCTTCTACTCTAGTCTAGCCAGCAGAACAAATTCCCAAGCCGCAGGAGGAAGAGGATTTGGAATAGAAATAATTTCTGAACACAAGTGCAGCACAGGAGACCCCACTGCAGGTCACAGACCAGGTCAGACCTGTCAGCACAGAGTGCTGTGACCTCCAGCAGACTTTTGCAGCCCGTTCTGATGGCTGCTCCTCTTTTCCCGTTATCTTCCAGAACCAGATGTGGTACCCAGCCCCGGGAGCTGGCTGTATCCATGGCTGTGGATGGCAGGGCCAGGCTGGGAGGGACACTGCAGGATGCAGGGATGCTGTGTTGTGAGGACACTCAGTGATTTGGCTGCACCATGATGCTTCTTCCCCTTTAGATTTTAATACTCAAAATTACCCAACTCGGCCTGTTCTCCTCCCAGATGCTCTGTGGGTTCGTCTGAGCCCCAGTTCTCAGGGGCAGGCTCACATTTTCTGTGCATTCTGTGAAGCTGCAGCAAATAATCCATCAGGCCTGCAGGAATAACTTTGTTTTCTCCTCCTGTATGAGTAGTTACTCACAGCCCATGTATAACAAACAAGCCAGCATCAACTCTATGCAGAAGACATCAGACCAAGAAATTCGAGGAACAAAGGAGGCCCTCATCCAGGACCTGGAGAAGAAACTGAGATGCAAGGACAGCCTCCTGCAGAATGGCAACCAGGTAAGGGATTGAGGAGCTCCCGGGAGGGCAGGCAGGTTGCAGAGATGCTGCTCCAGGGGCTGGAGCCTCCAAACTCAGCTAAAAGCAGAAGGAAATGCAGGAGCAGCCCTGCCCTTTACTCAGAACCTAACAGATCCCATGAGAGCAAAAGCCATTTATGACTGAAATATTCTTTCAATGTGAAAGAGAAAGGAATATGTTTAGAGCTGTGGCACAAATTTGAGCTCTCTTCTGGGGATCCTGTTGGACATCACATCCACAGAAAATTAAAAATTCAAGGAGAATGCCTCAGTTCTATAGACATGACTACAACCTGGTTTTCAACATTGAGGTTAATAAACATCTCAAAACCATTAGAACCTGAGGAAAAATTGGAATATTTGAAAGTTCATTCTAGGGATCACCATCAAATGGGATAAATTTTTTCTTTCATATGAACAACAATAAATGAAAGAAATTATATGAGCTTTTATCATAAAGCCTGTCTCCTATAAGAGGGCCTCTTAGCCTCAGTACCTATTTATTCTGCAGAGGCTCACAATAGAATCCCCCTTACCAATAAATCAAAATCCAGGGGGAAAATTTGCTACCAGTAGCAGCTAGAGCAGGCAGGTTTCTAATGTGGGAGCCTTTCTGCTGGCTGCAGGCAGACTGGTAAAGGCACAAAGTTTCCATCTTCTTTCCCCTGAAGTAGAAAGGAGTATTCTCATGATCATCAGTGAGAGCAGTTTTATGTCATATATGTAATTTAAAATATTGAATGGGCAAACAAATAGGTCAAATCTGACTGAATATGTCCCTAAACAGAAATGTCCTATGTGGTGTAGGAAGGCTTGTCATAGCAAGTCAGCTTTTTTCTTCCCATAGGAAGAAGCCAGGCTAAAAATAAGTCTTATGCAATCACCACTGTGTCCTCCTCCCCTTGTCCCCCAACAAGCCTGAGCCAACTGGCCAATCTCAGCCACACTTGACACACACGTAAGGACCTCAGGGATAGGCAGCTCTCACAGGTTTTGCTGAAGGTCTTGTGCTCTCTTCTAAAGAAAAGTCCCACAAGGCTCCCAAACCTTTCCCCAGCCAGCAGCAGACTCATGTGTATCAGTACAGAGCAGAAATTCAATCAGAGCTCACCATTGTGTCAAAATCCAAACCCAAGTGAAACTTTGTGGGCAGCAAAGTGTCAGGTGTTCTGGTGCTAACATGCTTCTCTAAAGTAACCCAAGTGACAGAGCTTGGATTTAACTCTGCTCACTTTTATCCCTGTGTGCCACATCCAGAGTGCAGGCACTGACTGTGCCATGCCTGAAAGGTGTCCTTGCCTCCTGCCCAGCATTTCACCCTGCAGATGTGCTGGCAGAAGCCTCCCCAGTGCTTGCAGGGGCAGTGGTGCTCCCCTCTGGCTGTGCCTGCCTCTGCTGTGGCTTTTTTGGGAGCATCCATCATGCCTCCAGCTGAATGGCTTGGGAAGCTTTCCCAGCCCTGACAGAAAGGTACCGTGGGACTTACTCTGGCTGCTGTGGATGATGCCATCAGCTACCCATAAATAATCCCAGCAGAGAAAGAGGAGGAGTGGAAGGCCACAGATGGCATTAGGGAGGCTTTGATGAACAGGCAGTTTAATCTTTTATGCATTTCAGTGCTGTATATATTGAGGCTGACTTCAGTTGGCATCACAGACTGCAAACCCTCGGGGCCAGACATGGTCAGCTCTTGCTTCCATTGACAACATCCTGAACTTGTGGCATATTAATGTGAACTTGTGGCATATTAATGTGCTCTTAACAAGCTGGTCTGAAACAGTGACTGGGCTTGTGACTGGAATTGCTGTGCACTGTGCCCCCAGAGACTGACCTATGAGGAGAGGATGGCTCGCAGGCTGCTCGGACCAGTGAATGCTGCCTCAGTGCTGGACTCACAGAGTGAAGACAGCGTGCAGAATGCACAGGTAACTGCATTGCCTCTGCAGAAAGGGTTTCCTGGGGTTCTGCTGTGGGCTGCTTGTACCTGGGAGGGCAGAGATGGGGTTTATTTGCTCCCAGTGCAGGTGAGGGGTGGCTCTCAAAGGCAGAGCTCTCCGTGGCAGGGGTTTGGTGCTTTCACAGGGGGAAAATTCAAGCCCCATTCCCTTACTGTGCCTGATCTGTAGGAATGACCTCTCCAGGGAGGAATTCCAGCAGCAGCTGCTCAGCACAGCCCCCAGTGCCTGTGACAGGCAGGGAGCAGCCCCACGAGGGAGCCAGGTACCCACTCCAGCAGCCTGAGTGCAGGCTGGGCCAGGACAGCAAGATTTACACCTGCCACTGCTGGGAACAAGGGACATTGGCCTCAAGGGGTCGTGGCCTTGGGCTGGGATTGGTTGGGTTTTAGCCCTTGCAGGGGGCTGCAGCCATTAAGAGAATGCAAAGCAGTTATTTCAGCAGCCCACATGCTGATAGACAAGAATTTATCACCACTGGCTTTTTCCAAAATGTTTTAGTTGGAGACTTGCATCATTTGTTGGTCATTCAGGCCAGTTAGAAGCTCTCTTTGGTGCTTCTGTGCTCAAGGTTAGTGGAAATGTCTGTGATGTGGCACTGGGTACCTGAGCAGGACAGAAAACACCCTCCTGCTGTCAGCAGCAGAGAGCCAGGAGCAGGCACACAGCTGCCAGAGAGCCCTCAGCAAAACCCCTGCATGGAACAGACACCTAAGATCACAGCAAAGGAGGGATACAGAGCTATCTCTCCCCAGCAATCACCTGGCAAGATCAGGTGAAAAAGAAGGAGAAATCATGAATGGCAGAGAGCAAGGGAAGCCTCATCTTTTGCTGACAACAATGAAATAGTCAGTCAAAACAGGATGGCTGACAACTTTTCAGCATGTGTGAAATGCTGTTTTAAAAAGAACATTGGAAGCAGAGATTCGCTTATGTTTGGGACATTTTACTTCCATTGTTCAGTCTTATTTTTAAATATTTAAATAGTCACTGATTTATTCAGCCTCCTGATTCCTCAGGAACTTAACTCAGTCCATGTAACAGGTCATTAGAATCATCAGCAACTTCACCACTACAGCATAATTTCACAGGACAAGTAATAACTGTACAGAACTTGTGTAAATGGGCAGATACAGGCAACTGCCTTGGACTGCACATGAACTGAGCCCAGCAAAACCCTCATTCATGTCATATTCCCCCTGATCTTAAAACTGCCTCCTTGCTTCAAGTTTAAACCCAGGCTTAAATGTTCCACAGGGCTGGGCTGCAGAGCACAGAACCAAGCCCTGGGATGTCTCAAGGCAAGCACTCCAGAAATTTCCATGCAGAGTTTGCTCTCTCTGACTCCATTGCTAAAACGAGTCGCTGGCACCAAACCCCGTCGCGTTTTCCAAACATCCTGGCTCCTAACAGGAATCAATCCTGGGTACTTTAGCAGATTTAGCCATGTGATTTCAGAGTTGTCAGCGAGCTTAGCTGGTGCTGTGATCTAGAAAGAAAAGTATTTTCCAGCTCAGCATGTGTCCATGGCTGCTGGTACCACATTTAAGTGGGCACAATACGAGGCTCCTGCCAGCAATTCCACTTCTATTCCTGCTAGGGGAAGGACACTCTGTACTCAGCTCTCAGCTTAGATATTGCCAGGAGTGCTGCTCCTCTCTCACAAAGGTTATGGGCTGGCAGAAAACCTTGTGTGTGCCAGACAAAGCTGCTGCACCCATCACCTGGGCAGCAATGACAAGTTCTGCCATGGCAAAGCCCATGGTGAGCACAGAGTGTGTCAGATCCTCATGCAAGTTCCTCTACCTCCCGTCCCAAGGACTTCTGAAGTACATTCATTTTGTTTTTAAGCAGCAGTCAGGATATGAATGTAAAATGGCTTCTCATTCAGTCTACAGATAAATCTTTCTAAGTGAATTTGAACTCACCTCTCCTCTTTCTCTTCCCAAGCACCAGAACGCAGAAAACGTCAGGCTGCAGGTTCCTACAACACATGTCAGGTAAAGCAAAAACTTGTGCTGTGCTGTTCTTCAAGATCTTATTTCAAACATTTCTACACAATGTTGGTTTAATCTCACTACTTATCACTTTTGCTAAAGTAATAATTACTGAATTCACTCCCTTTTTACTAAAATGCTACCATTTGTGCATGGGTGATGATGCCTATGATCTTAATCCAGTGAATTCTAAGCATAGCATTAGAGGTTTAAAAACTCCTTGGGAGTTAGGAAATGCAATTCCCATGCACATTGGAAAAATACTCTTTATATTCTAGAAGATTAATTTCTAGTCAAAGAAATATAAATATTGAAATGAATATAAATTATGAAAATTAAGCAGCCAACTTTCTCTTGTCAAGTCTTTTGGATATTAGGCCATAATGAAGGTTATTCTTGTGTGCTGCATTGAACAACTTGAGCAAGAGAAGTGACTTATCAAGTCATGAGTTACAGCTGAAAAACCAACCAGAACTGTTAGATTCCTAAAGCTGAGGGACTCCAGCTGCAATCAGAGCTTTGATACCACTTGTACTACAATAGCTTTTACACAATTAACTGTTCCTGTCCCATTTTCAGGAGCAGACCATCCTCTAGAGGCGACGATCGTGGACATGACTCGATCCAGGAGAAGTTTTTCCAGCCACGTTTCACACAAGTGCCTGAAGATGTGGTGATCGAGGAGGGGCGGTTCTGCAGGCTGGACTTCAAAGTAATGACAACCTCTCTCCCTCCCAATTCCATTGCCAACCTCTCCCAATTCCATTGCCAACCTCTCCCTCCCATTCCATTCCCTCTTGGGGCGTGGGGCATGCAGAGAGGTCTCTGCAGTGCCTTTGCATTTTCATAACCCAGAGCACTAATGGAAGATGGTTCAGGGTCTCCCCAGGCTATGGAAGCCAAGAGACAGGGGATGGATAAACATGTCAGTGTTTTCCCTTGGAAAATGTGAATGGAATTATCTGCATAAGATTATGATTAAAGCTAACTAGTGGTAAATATAGACCACTACAGAATGTCTCTGGACCTCCTTGGGAAGAATGAATATTAATGCCCTGCTGAAAAAAGGCTTTTTGTCAGGGAACCTTGTGCTTTGCACAGGGGCTCCACTGCTTCAGTGGACACACATCCAGCAAGGTCTGTGCAGGACTCACCTCCCCGTAGTGGCTCTTCCCTGAGGTAACTGTACCTTTACTCGAGCAGACAAGCATGGAAATGCCCTAAATGGAAACAAAACTCAAGAATGGCCTAAAACTTCATGGCAGCTGTACCAACCCTGGGGTGAGAAAAGATTCTCATTTCCTGCACAGGCTTGGGTTTTCCTAATGGGTTCCCACCTCTTTGTTTCAGTAAACTCTGGCCAGACTTACACATGGCCTTTAGCCATCTTCCTCCAGGTTGCCCAAACTTCTGGGTGCTGTGGAGGAGCTGGAGCTCATTTACAGCCATTATCAGCTGTGGTACCAGCACTGCTGCAGTGACAGCTGTGGGAACGAAGGGCTGAACCCAAAATCAGCATCTTGGGCCTGATCAAAGCCACCTACAGGAAGGGAACAGGGGGCTGCAGAAACAGCATCCACTGTCTTGTAGCTAAAGCTCATCTTTCCACAGCACTCCCTGAGCCTTTCTGTGCAACATCACATTAATATTCAGAACTAGGCAATAAATACTCTACAGCTTTGCAGAAGGAACATGGTTTGATCACCCATCAGCATCAAACTCCCTGCAGTGTTGGAGGGATTTTATCATCTCTAACTCTTCCCTGCTCTCCTCTCCCTCACAGGTCAGTGGGCTCCCCACTCCAGATGTGATGTGGTACCAGAATGGAAGGATGGTTCACCAGGATCAGTTCCACAAAATGATAGTGTCAGAAAAGGGGTTCCACTCGTTCATTTTTGAAGCAGTCAAATCAGCTGATGCAGGGACATACGAATGTGTGGCTGTCAACCGTGCAGGAGAAGCATCTTTCACAGTAAAAGTGGAAGTAATTGGTAAGACTGAGAGCACTGGTAGTTCCCTGGACACACTGGGAAATCTCAGCAATCTACTGCTTTTCTCCCTGTGTTTGGGACATTCGAGTAATAAGAAGCAGAGGTAGCACTCCACATAACCAGGATCAAGCAATAAAAATCAATTCAGGCTCAAACAATGAAAATCAATTTACTATTCCATGACTATTTTAATAATTACATCTAGGATGCAGTATTTCTTCAAGCCACTTCTGTCAGGATATTTAGATATAGTGATATAGCGAGACGTCCAGAATTTAATTTAATTGATGTTATTAATTTTCCAGGATTGATAACATATGTTAATTGACTCTCCTTCTAAGGTGGACTGTGTTCACCACACCCTTTAGCTCATGGGAACTGCCTGCAAGCTAAGGAGATGCAGGAGATGAGGAACACTTGTCCTCCTGAATTTAGCAACCCGAAATCTTAAAAACCAAGCATGACATGAGCATTCCACACTTCCAGTAACTCCTCCTTATCTCTCCTCTTTAATTCAGCTAAAGAGCATCACATGCCTCCAACTTTCATTTTCAAGCCCCAAAGCAAAAAGGTTTTTGAGGGAGACACAGCCAGGCTGGAATGCCAGATCTCTGCCATCCCAACCCCTCGGATTTACTGGAAAAGAAACAACGAAATGGTACAATATAATACAGACCGAATAAGGTATCCCACTGCTCAGCTGGCCATCGGGGTGTCACAAACAGCAACCAGTGTTTGCTCAGTCAGGTGTAAATGGGCTGGGTCTGTAAGCAGCAGGCTGGGGGCTGGATCTGCCCTGGGGGGTGACACCGGGGCACAGGCCATGTGCTGAGAGCCTTTGGGGACACAGGGGGACAGAGCTGTGCCCAGGGCTCCTCTCAGTGCCTGCAGCAGCAGAGGGCCCCTGGGGAAGCACAGACTCAGGGCTGAAATGTGCAGTGTGGGGCTGCGCACTGATGCCACGATGTGAATCACTGGTGGCTCTGACACAAATGCAGGGTTCATACCTGAACAGTGTGCAAGGATTGTTCTGGGGCTTTCTCAGCTCCTCAGCATGTGAACTCTGCTTTCTCTCCTCGCCCCTCAAAGCACTTAGGCATTAACACGTTGGTTTTTCAGCTTGCTCCATGACAATACTGGAAGGATTTGCCTGCTGATCCACAATGCCACCAAGAAGGATGCTGGCTGGTACACCGTGTCTGCTGTCAATGGGGCAGGGGTGGCCACGTGCCACGCCAGACTAGAGGTTGCAAGTAAGTTCCAGGTCCCAGTGCCACAGAAAGTGCATTTTATACTCAGAGCAGGCCCTCAAGATTAATCTAATGAAGTTCAGACTGCTGGGAGGATTTATTTCCCAGACAAAAAGTTACTATCCTGGGAAAAGCTCTTTTCTTTAGTACAGGACACTGTGGAGTGTCCTTTTGCTCTTTTAAAGACTGCAATTCCCCTGACACCAAGCAAGAGGGTGGATATAAATCTCTGGTGTCTGAGATATGGGTTTGTCTACTAAATTCTCCCCAAGGGCTTGCTGGTTTATACTGCAGATCAAAAGCAGTGGGGTTGCCTGCCATGGGTCTCTGTGCACCCTGGAAGGCACTGAAGGAGGCTTTTTCTCTCTCTTCCAGCACATACAAATAAGCCACTTCCAGCCCCAAAGCAGTTACGGGTTAGACCAACCTTCAGCAAGTACTTGGCACTCAATGGAAGAGGACTGGATGTGAAACAAGCTTTCTCACCAGAAGGGGAGTTTCAGCGTTTGGCTGAGCAGTCTGGACTGTATGAAAGTGATGAACTTTAACTGGAAATGAAGAGGAAAACCTCACACCCATAAGAGACAGTTACAACATAGATGCAGTTAACTGGTGATTGCTCTAATTAGCAAAATACCTACTTGCATATTTTTACCTTGACTCTTGCACATTCAGCTGTTCCTGTTTTACCATGTTAGATTTTATTTATATGGTTTGGTGACTGTAACCATTACTGAGTATTGCATTTGAACTAGAAAGCCTGAGAAAGCAGGTGAATTAGTTTTAACAAGTGTGGGTGGGCTGAGTTCCACCTGCGCTTGGTTACATGCTAAGGTAGCTTGATTTGTGCTGCTTCTTTAATATCACTCGTGGTAATATCAGAAGTCTGTACTGTCTGAATACTAAAGCCAAATAGAGTAGAGTGTTTTTATGAGAATAAATTAGAGGCAAATAAAATTTTAAATAACCAACCAATCAGCTGTGACTCTTCCTTGCTTGATCTGTTAAAAGCAGATTTGAATGCCTGGCATCAGCTGCAGCCTGGGGAAGATGGGTACTTACCCTCCTGAGCTTTCCACTTGTCCCCTCCCCTGTCTGTTCCCACTGACATTTGTCATCTGGCATGTACCAAATATTTAGCATAAACTAAATGCTGACACCCTATTAACACTACACCATGCCAGTGAGGCAGCATCAATATTTCTTCTCCTTGCACACTTGACCCAAAAGCTGCCCTCCATGATATGAATCATTAGGGCTATCATGTTTTCCCTCCTTTAATCAAGGAGTGGTTGCAACTTATCCTGCTGTTGACTCTCAACAAGCTGTTGATTTGAGTCACCCAAGTGGTTTGTGTGCTGCTGTTCACAGACACCTTGTTCAAAAACAGTGCTAAATACCATGGAATAAAACCAAAACTGGAGACATTTTAACTGTACTTGCTACAAAAAAATCTGTGGGGGTTGATCTAGCCTGACCTCCTCATTGAGGAGCACAGTCAGCAAACCTCTCAAGCACCTTCCAGAACAGAAAAAAATGAGGCCTCTGTTTCACCCTGCATTGCTGTACCATTAAATAACCCCCCAAATCTGAACTGCATTACACTGACTGTTAAATTCCCCAAAAATCCTGCAGCTCTATGACCACACATCTCCTCTGGGCTGCCCAAGTGATGAAATACACTGAGATAACTCCCCTCTGGCACATTTGGAGATGGAGCTGATCACATGAAGCCAGCACCCAGTTTAGGCTGCACTGGCAGGTTGCAAAGTCTGCATCATTTCCCTGGCAGGTGTCTTTACACACAAATGGAATACCTGGGGTGCCTCACGCTCTTTACCAGCAATCACAGTGTCACTGTGCCTCATTCAGTACTCACGCCTCACCCCACACATCATCCACCCAGAAACATCCCGGCAGTGGAAACGGCTCTGAGTTCCCAGCAGCACAGCTTAGTGACACGTGGGAATGGCAGAGCAAGGTTAGAAGCTGCTGTCACCCTCCAAATTCAGCCTGTGAGCATCCATCCCCTCCTTGCCCCTCCTCTCTGGTGAGCTCAGGGTGCTGAGCAAATCCATGTCCCACCTCTGCCTGGAGCCCTCCTCTGCCGAGGACGGCAGGAGCAGCTCTGGGATTTCTGGAGGGCAAAGCTTTCCTTGGAAATGTTTTCATGCAGAGAAACAAATGAAGATGCTCCCAGTATAGTTCAGAGCAACCTCACCTCGTGGCTCCCCAAAACCTTGTGCTAAATGTTGAGTTTTCAGCTCAGGAAAGGCAACCAAATTCTTCAAATGCATTTGGAGAAATTTTGGGTACAAACAATGCTGATACTTCTGAATAACCAGCCTAGGAAAACAAAAGGCCAGCTAATTGCTGCATCATACACAAAACACAAGGAAAAAGTCTGCAATAAAAATTATTTTCATAGTTTGCAAAGGGATTCCTGTTGGATGGACTCTGCTGGGACAAATGCTACCACATCACAACATTAACCCTCCCAAACAACAACAGCCATATTTACAAAAGAATTTGCTGTTGGAAGCAGCCCAGGTCCACCAGCTGAAAGGAGGCAACAACACTGGATCCATCTCCTGTAATTCCACACTGTTTTAGCATACTTACAGCAAATGTCATTACTGAGCTGAAGACAGGTCTGACTTCAGTCTAAGGAATCAATCTGAGCAAGTAATTCTGTCTGAGCACAGAAATGTTTGAAAGTGCCACAATTCTGCATCGGTAACAGCCATGAGTGCAATTAGCTGAGCTTTTCTCTTGTTTACATTAAGATAAACCATGGATTTGGTTTTGTGCCAACATTAAAGATGGGTATTTGGCATGGGAAATCCATAGCAGAGACAGGAAGAACTGGAAAGAGCAAGCCCAGTTGAGCAGAAGCACATGTTAGTGCTCCTATCTCCTCTATCATCTCTAGAGGAATCAATTAAAGGAGGCCTGAATTTAAATCACATATTTATAAATTGGAATCAGGCAAAAATACTCTGGAAATGCTCTGCTTCATTTAGCACTGATTTAACATAAGAGAGACCATGTGAACATGCCTAAGTAACAATGAACTATGTAAACCAGAGTTGTTTCATTTAAGGTAATGAAATAAGGTTTTAAAGTAATAAAGTGCCTGGCCCATCTTGGGTGAAATCCAGATTAATAAGCAATTGTTGTTTTGTGAAGGTACTGAGTAACTAAATAAAGGCACTGGGAATATGCTAAGGCTGTGTATCTCCTGAGCACTTCATGTAAAGAAAAATGTTATTTCAAGGTCTGCCTTTAGTTGTCAGTTTTGCATGCAGAACACAAGGACTAACAAGGATTACAAAATAAAAAATCCAGGCTTACATCAGTTCAGGTTCCATAAGCTGAGCTGCTTTGTTTCCCCATTTCAGAGAGATGGAAACACTCCTCATCCCCCTCATTATCCCCATGGAACTGGGATCCATGGGCTGGCACAGCAGTGGAGGACACATCTTCACCCAAATCAGAGCAGGAGGGTGAGGAGAAGTTGGTGTTTCCCAGGCAGAACAGTGGCTCCCTAGAGGAACCAGAGCTGCATTAATTATACTTGTGTTTGTATTTCATAAACATAAATGTGTATGTATTTCTCAAGATGTGATGCTAATGTGAACCTCTTCTGGATAATCAGGTGAGCCCTTACCTTTATGGTGTGTGAAATCCAATTTACTGAGGCATGGTGCTTCCATAAGGGCAGCTCAGGCATTTGCAGCCACTTTTCCCCAGGTAGCAGCTGGCAAGACAATAATTCATTAAAAATGCAGAACTCAGGTCAGGGAGCACACCCAGATCCAACCTTTCCATTTTTTGGCAATAGTTGGTGCCTGGTTTATGCACTGGTTGCTGCTGGCTGTTGGGAAACATTTCTCAGCCTTTTCAAGGCCAAAGACTGGATTATTAGTCCTTGTTATTAGCAATATTAGAAAATTAAGGCCTGGGATGATTCAAAGGGATTACATTTACCACCAGCCCCCTGTTTTTCCTGACACCAGGGCTGCTCTCAGCCCCCCACACCCCTCCCACGTGCAGTCCATCAGATCAGTCACGGGTGGTGATGAGCTCTGTGGCCCTGGCAAGTCTCTTGTTGCCTCTTTGTCATTGCACCCATCATCCAGGGAGCTACAAACAGTAAAACTGCGAGACAAATGCTCCAGAAGTGCCCAGAGCTGGCTGCATTTGCTGCTGTGGGGGTGAGTGACCCCATGGTTTCACCTCTGTGTTTGCCAGCCTTGGCCAGCCCTGCCTAAAGAGCCCCAGGGTGAGCCTGGTCAGGCTCAGTCTAACCCGAAGTAACTGCTTAGGCTCTGTCCTACCCTGGAGAGGCTGCACAGATCAGGGTCCAGGGCCCCTTGCTGGCCTTGCTGTGGCTCTGTGTCCCCCCTACTCATTACCCACCCTGTTTGTTTTAGCCTGGAGCCTGCCAGAGCAGGGCAGGGCTGGGGCACAGCAGAGCTGGCACAGTCCAACTGGGATGTGTGACACAGCACAAACACAAGAGGTTTGGCCAGAAAAGCCTCATGGATATACAGCTTATGACAAAACACCCAACAAGCTCAGGTTCTTCAAATCTAGCCATATTTTGAAGCCAACCCAGTCCTCCCTGTGCAGAATGGCAGCCTGAAGGGAGGGCAGGGAGCTGGGCTGGATCTCCCTGCTCCTGCTTTCATTCAGGATCCATCCTTGCCTTGCCTCCAACACCTCCTGCCCTGGAGGAGGGTCCCTGCTAAAGGAAGAGCTGCTGGCTATGCCAATGTCTCTCCAGATTTCTGTTTCCTTGCATTCTGGTAAGTTCTTTACAATAACAGGTTGTAAACATGCTGTCAACATCTTCCTTCCCTGGATAAAATATTGGCTGAGATTCCCTTTCTCTGTACTCAGGAATCACAGTGTTCCTCAGCACAGCACGAATGCTCGCTTTTACCTTTTCATGGGTGAGCTGCAAAGGTGCAGCTCAAAGGGAGAATTCTGTTTATGAGATTCCAGAGGGGTTTAAAATTACCTCCCCCTCATGAACATGGGTCATGCAAATTCCAAACTCAACTAAAAAAATGTTGCACATGGGCAGCTGTCTCCATTGGAGCAGCTGGGAAATCACCACAGGAAAAAGCCTCCCTAAACTCAGCCTTTCCTAGACCCATGTTAGCCAGGTATGACCTGTAAAGACAGCCTGGCTGTAAGAGAGGAAGGCAGTCATAGCTTTGTAGCCAAAAGCTATTTAAAAATTAGCTACTTCTTAACTGCAGAAAGAGGCAAAATGTTCTGCCCTTGATTCAGGACTGCCTTCACACCTAATTTAATTGCATTTTTAATTTCAAATACACATGCTCCCATCTGGGCAGAGAGTGCAAACTTCTCCAAAATTAGGAACTACATTTGTTCCTAACCAGGTGCTCTGAGGCCAAACCAATGGAGACAGTGCTGAGGAAAAGGTGGGCTTTATTCTTTCCTGTAATCTTAGAAACTGCTGGTTGCATTTTGGAAATTGAAGAACACAAAAGGAGTCACAGTTGCCCCCACTGTGACTTACAAAAGCTATTTCTCCACAGGATACTATTTTTAACATCATAGGAATAGCAAAACTAAACCCATAAATAAAGAAAAATCACCAATTATGCCCATAAAGTCAAATAAAAGCTTGTTCAGGCCAGGTCATACACGGAACAGCAGAACTGGCAGCAGGGTAAGATCAGTGATTTCTAGTGACTGTATAAAGTTGTGAGCTGAGCATTTCCCCAAACATTAACCAGAAACAGATGTATGGAAAACAAACAAGTTTCACAGCAATCTATTGGGTCACAGGCTGCATCTACAGCAAGGAGAAATATTACTGCAACTTCCCTTTGCTTTGCTAAAAGGTTTCCAGCAATCTTTGTTCCAGTTCCATCACTGGGCTAAGTCTGTGTCTGTACAACATATTTTTATTTTAA